CAGATATTGTGTCACGCACAATACAAACATTTGACGTTGATCTAATGGATTGTATTGTCATAGCTTGTTTGCTAGTAGCTTATGTACCATCACTGGTAGGATGAACCATTCATATTATAATCATCATTATTATTAACATTAATACTCTATCATTAGTTTGATACTGATCTCAATGGGCTTTATCCCGAGCCATTGACTCCTGAACAAGTCTCACATAATTCATCATTATTGGTGCAAGCTATACAAAGGATTGGTATCAATTATGACATCCAGGTACACTCTACATTAACATTAGTACTACTACAGCTACACTGACTGATTCTATGATGTTTAATAAATTAATATTGATGTTTTTTTCTTGTTAGCTAATGTATATCTTTTATTTCTTTAGGCCAGTGATTTCTCTGCCCCCAATCCAATGATGCTGATATTGTTTTGTAGTCATCTTTTTCACATCCTTCCTCATTATGTTCCAGCTTCCTCCATTAAGCTACAGGGATCTCTTCACACTTGCATTACTAAACAAGTAAGTCCTTATAATTATTGATCCTATTATTCATTATATTCTGTCTTTATAACAGATAACAGTAGAAAACACTAGCCACAGGGAGCTACTCTATCGCACTCTCATACTAGGGAATGTTAGTTCAATTGGATGCTTTACTGTCAAGGGAAAAGATGATTTTATATCTGTGAGTCTGCATGAATACAGCTATTAAATCAAATGCACATGTACACATAACATACATGTACATATTTATGTCCTTGCCTTATTGTGTAGGTTCCTCCTAAAAGTTCAGTGTCAGTTCCAGTATCATTCAAGGCTCAGTATCTAACTGAGTGTGAAGGGACTTTACTATTGATACCAAAGGGAGGTGGAGGGAGACAAGGATACCCTCTCTCTTTCAAACTAATCAGACAAGTTAACACTGTGTACCCTAAGGTACATATACATGTACATGTACATTATACATGCATTAATGTTCATTTATAATTCTTATTATTTAGAGTGTGCTAGTCCATGAAGTTCCACTCTATCAGGTTACTAGTCTATCAGTTCCTATTGTTATTCCTCATGTCACTGAGTCTACTCTCTTTCATGTAAAGCTAGTGGAAGGAGAGAAGCTCTCGGAAAAGAGAATGAAACTCAAAGCAAACAAGTAATGAGCACTTTGTACATGTACTGTGTAAAACTATGATCATCATTAATGTATTGTCATTGTTTTATAGGATGGATGGTAAAGCTAAATCAACAGTCACAGAGACTATCATCTGCCCTTCATCACTGACCAATAGATCAACTGACTCCATCAAACTATTCCACACCAAACAGACAACAATTGCAATAGGTCCCTCACACAATCGACTGGAGCAGACAGAGCAAGAGAATAGGCCCAGGATTGAGTTGGAGTACATACCATTGAGGAAAGTCCCTAGAGATTGTGCTATCATATTGAGCAATACACAATATGGAGACACTGTCTTTCTTGTCTCTACAACTGTCAGCCTACCATTAGCTTCAATGACCCTACCACCATTCCTGTTACCATCAACACTCTACGATAAGGACACAAGGACAGTCTACATAAGAGGGCCAGTAGGAGAGTCACTGAGCGAAGTCATTAACATACCCACTAGGAATGAGGACTTTGAGAGAGCAGTGTATAGACTGGGGGAATGGGATATACCCAAAGACGAGAGAGAGAGACAACACCTGACAGGATCGTTTGGCTATGCCTCGCTCTATAATGCAATGAAGGCTCTTAATCTTGAGACTGCCATAAAGACACATAGGAACTCTTTGCCTCATGGAGCAGACGAGATCCACTTTGATATTTCGTGTGATAACTCTGAGCACTTTACTGTACAGGGTGGAATCTCAATCCCAGTCTTTAGTAGGAAGACCTCTTCGGTCCTTCCTATCCAGTTTATCTGTCATAAAGATGGCTGTTACATGTGTCATGTTGTACTGACATCACCTCATGATGTTAGGGTCTTTCATATTGAAGTGATTGCCATTTCTAAGAAAGAAGAGCCAGAGCTGGAGTTTAAGATACCTGCCTTTCAGAAAATAACACAAAGAATCCCATTGGTAACTGAAACTTAATCATACCACTGTATTTTATTTATTTATTATTATTATTATAGC